GTATGCCCCGGTGCCTACAGGAGACCAAAATATATTAAGTGCTCATTATTTTGAGTGGATTATACTATTGAAGGAACGAGTGCCAAAATATTCGAACCAAGGAAGGGATAGAAGACAAAATCATGGTTCCTCCAACAATGTCCACGTCCTCATCCCCAGAACCTGTGACTGTGCTGTCACATGGCAGGGGGACTTGAGGCTGCAGACGGACTCGAGGTTGCTCATCAGCTCACCTCAAAATAGGTCGTCCCGGGCTATCTGGTAGGCCCACTGTAATTAAAGAGTTCTGAAAAGGTGGAAGGAGACGGGAGTCAGTGTCGCGGTGGTGTGCTGTGACAAAGGCTCTGAAGGTATCGGGGCAGCCTCTGAAAACTGAAAAAGTGTAGAAAACAAAAAACAGATTCTCACTAGAGTCTCCAGGAAGAAGGCTCAGCCTCCTTCTGCAGACACTTTTTGGACTTCTAAACCACACAGCTGAGATGACACATTTGTGTAGTTTTATGCCACTCGGTTTGTGGTCACTTGTTGCAGCAACAGTGGGAAATGGAAAGGGAGCCACGTCGAGACTCCGGACGTGCTCACCCTTGGGTCGGGTTTGTGCTTTAAACGAAGGCGTGGTGTAACTGAAACTTCTTTAAGCCAAGGGATAGGCGCTCAGCGAAGCTGCCTGAACTTCCAGGGCAGCAATGCTCGTTTTATTGTGCTTCATTCACTTCGTTGTGTTTTTTTACAAGTGGAAGGCAAGACTCTCCACCAGCAAAAAGATCTGACTTGCTTTCTTGTGATACTTGCTTTATTACGGTGGTCTGGACCCAAAGCTACAGCATCTCCATGGTCGGCCTGTGTTTCTCTCCTGCTCTGCTCCTGGCCTCCGGCCTCCAGCTGCAGACAGCTGGCTGGGCTGAGTGATCTCACTGCCCCACGGACTTCCCCACCCAGACTGGGGCAGGTGGACATTATCTCACGGAGCTTCCTCACCGGGATGTTGTCCAAATGCAACATAGATAAATAGGAAATGTAAACTTTTAAAATAATGTTTCACGTCTTAAAAGAGATTTTCATTTATGTCATTTAATCCCTCTAACAATTCTAACTTTGGATATTACCATTATCTCCACTTCAGAAAGGAAACGCACAGTGTAAGTCACTTGCTGGAGGTCACGCAGCTAGTAAGGTTTCAGATCCCAGCAGTGCGGTCGTGGAGTCCATGGTTTTAGCCATAGTGCCGTACTTGCCACTGCTTCCTTGTCTGTAAGTTAGAGCTGATAATGTCACCTTCATCGTGGGATTGTTGTGTCGGTAAAATGAGTTAGTTCACATGAGGCGCTCTGAACTCTGCCTGACAAGCAGACAGTGCTCGGCGAGTGTCAGCTGTTGCTGTCCTGCTTGCTGGAGGTTTTGGAGCCCGAGGCGTCTTCCGGGGGTGTCAGTAGCTGGAGGAAAGGGAACGGGAAGCACGTGCTCCTCACTCCGCCTGGTGCCCCGCCCTGCCAGCACAGCCCTCTGATCTCTTTTCCACTTAGTGTCGTGAACTGCCCTCAGCTTGGTGACAGTTCTGTTCCCGGAGTGGGAAGCGGCTGGAACCAGCACTCAAGTCCAGACGGAAACGGGCTCAAGGCGGAAAAAGGCTTAAGACGGTGTCATTTTTTTCCTATAGAGAATGTGATGTGAGAGGTGCCCACGTGAGAAACCAGAGGGTCTGTCACACGCTCGAGGTAGATTTAGATGTGTGGTTGGAAATGGGGACCTACCGTGACACGATTTGATGCCTCAGGGTCTCCTTCGTAGAGAAATGTACAAACAGCAACTCACACAGGAATATGCATGCAGAATAACTACTCGTAGCTTTAAAAGTTTCGCTAGGCGTTTGTCGATTCAATTTTTAAAAATGTACTCTTCGCCTGGGCAACAGCAGCCTGGTTCAGAATTCAGGTGGTGCGGAAGAGCCCGCCCCCTTCCCCTCGCCCCACGGGGACCGCGTCCCCTCCGAAAGCGGCGGCGTTACCTACCAGTCCTTGCATGTCATTCAAAATATTGGCCTTCTTACAAACGAATTGGATAGATTTTCCCCTCTTTTACACAAGCGATAGCTGGCTGTATACACTGTCTGCGCTTTTTTCTCCTGGTCCGATGTGTGTTGGAGACTTTTCCTCATTAGTGCCCGGGCAGCCTCTGCGGTGGCCTCGTTTCGGACTGGCTGCGTGGATGTGCTGCTCGTCCGCTGTGGACAGATACTTAGGTCCTTTCCATTATTTTTTTTAATATTAGAAACAGTGTTGCCATTGAATAATCTTATATACATGGGGACCCGTATGTTTTTATTATGTCACTATAAAAATAGTTTTGCTTAAGTCTCAAAAACTTTGTTTAACGTGGACACCTTATTGAACTTCGGACAGTTTTTATTTCATAAACAGTATTAATATTGTTAATGTTCTATTATTATTATGACTAACGTTAGAAATAAAAATGAAAGGAGAAAATTACCTGCAACAGTAGCACCACAGTAGGTCCAGATTGTTTTGTGTGTATCTTTTTCCTTAAGTCTTTATCTTCATGCATCTCCGCTCCAGAACCATAATCAAAATACACAGTTGGACGGAGATCAACCTAAACTTCTCAGGCGCTGACCCGGGCACGTGGATACACTTAGCGTGCCTGTTGCGAAGGCTTTAGAGACCACACAGACGTTTCCCCAGTCTGGAGTCAGCCTGTCGAGGAATCGTCTAGCTTTAGTGTGTCGAGGGACACCCAGAATGTCCTCTCGCCCAGGAAGCAGTCACAGTCCCTGCAGCACCGCTCCCCCAAGGCGTGACAACTGAAAATGCTTCCTACAGTGCCACATGTCCCGCCGCGGGCACAGATGCCCGGGGTGAGAACCACTCGCTTAGGAAAAGAATTCCTGATCATCAGGAAGTCATACCAGTTAGAGAAATGTCATGGCAGAGTAATATATCCTTTTTGTCATGATTCCTAAAGTGGCAAGTCAGAGTAGTGCCGTTGTGTATATATCATGTCTTCATTAAAGCAAAGCATTTGACTTTTTGGAGAAATACAGCTTTTTTGGAGAAATATGTACTGAGTGTTTAATCGGTTGACTAACCACACACTCAGGGACTACATGTTAGTTAAGTGGGTTGAAATCGCCTTAACCACTGCCATCTGTGCTGTGGTTCCGACGCCTAGCTGCCCAGTGGGATCATCAGGGAACCCCAAAAAGCCCCGACGTCTGAGTCCCAGAGACTGATTTAACTGCTGAGACACGGTCTGGGCATCAGAAGTTTTTCTGGTGCAGCCGCGGCGGAGAAGCACTGGCCCAGGCTGCGCTGCACACTCTTCGGGAATTGCCTGTTAAATCGTCACCGAGGACATGTTTTTCAAATTTATAACTGTCACAAAATTTTAAGGGACAGGTAACGTGCGTGTGATAGATTTAGAAAGACAAAAAGATCGCCATGTGTGGGATCCTGGGTGGGATCCTGTCGCAGAAAGCGGACATTAGCGGAAAAGTTGAGGAAATCCAAATCAGGCCTGTCGTCCAGTCAGCAGTGTTGTGCCGATGGCCATGACTTAATCTTGGCGGTTGGCTGTGCTCACCTAGGAGTCACCGTCAGGGATGCTTGACGAAGGTGCAAGGAAGCTCCCTGTACTCTTTGCAAGTCTGTTAGTCCAAACTTCTTAAAAATGCAAACTTAAACGCCAGTACCACGGATGGTTACCGCTTGCAACTACACACCTGTGTGACGAGATTTCTAGTACTGCGCGTACAAAATAAACCGAAATTCACTTGATGCTGAAACTGCAACTCTGATTGAGATTTTCGTTTGATCTTTTGGTTCTCATCGGTTAGCTTTAGAACTAAAGGTTTAAAATTGTGCATTTATATAATTTTTTAACAATAGAAAGTATCGACAAACTGAAATCCGGTCCAAAACTTATAAAGTGAATTCTAATAATTCACTTATTCTTAGCTGAAATCAAAATCAACAAATAGCTGCACAAATAAAAGATTGAGGCCACTCGGGCAGAGAAGTGGTGTATGACAAGGGCTGCGGCTCTTCGGTCCGACCGCCGTGTTGCGTGCCGGCGTGTCCGCGCCGGCCTGTGCAGTGGTTTCCCATCGGTGAGGTGGTCGTTTTGCTGTTCTTCTCCTAAGGTGGTACCGTCTACTTCCCACCCCTGGAGTCCCGGGGCCTGTCAGGTTTCCGAGCCACGTTTGAAGAGGTCCTAAGTTATTTTGGCTCCCGTGGACCTTTGCCACTGCCATGACAAGTCTGGGACACGCTGCTGCAGGATGAGAGCCAGTGTGGAGCAGAATCCGTCATCCCAGCTGAGACCGACCTGGGCCAGCCAGCCTCAGACACACGAGGAAACCCAACAGAGACCACCAGACCTGGCTCAGAGCCAAAGAACTCACGCGCTTGTCGCTGTAGCCTTGTGAGCAATGACAGTTATTGTTTTAGGCCACTGAGTTTTGGGGTGATTGGTTATGAGCAACAGCTGATACAGTGCTTCAAAGGGTGCTGCGATGATAAGTAAGCATCTGATGTATATAGCACGTTGTCTGCACACAGTAGCTCATCAGTCCATGTTAGTTTTCGCTATTGCTTTTGTTTTAATATGGCTAACTAGCAAGTTTTTAAGTCACACCTTTATTGAGATTCACATACCATAAAATTCAGTATCTTAAAAGTGTGCAAGTAGGTGGATTTTTCATATGGTCACAGAGTTGTGTAACCACCACCGTTAGAACACTTTTATCACCCCCAAAAGAACCCAGTCAGTGGGCTCCATTATCCCCTCCCCCAGCCCCTGGCAACCACTAATCTAATTTCCTACCTCAGTGGCTTTGCTTGTCGTGGACATTTCATAGAACTAGGACCATAGTACACGTGGTCTTCTCTGACTTCCATCCCTTTGTTTGAAGAGTCATCCCCGTGGTGGCTCGTCTCGGAACGCCACGTCTCGTGTTACCGGGCAGTGACCCGTCGTGTGGGTGCCCCGCGTTTATCCATCATCAGCCGCTGGACATCCGGGTCGTTTCCACGTCTCGGCCGTTACGACAGATGCTGCCGTGCGTGTGTGTGCACAAGCGTCTGTATGTACGTGTGTTTTCGTTTCTCGGGTTACGAGCAGGGGTCACACGCAGGTAACTAGACCGCTGGGCCGTCCAGTAGCTCCGCGTTCTGTCTGCGGGGAACTGCGGGTGGGTTTGCGGAGCGGCCACACCGTTCCGCGCTGCCCGCAGCACTCCGTGCGGGCGCCGCTGTGGGGACGGCATCGGAGGCAGGGCTGAGGCGGGCGAAGGAGGGGAAGAGCAAGCAGAATTGCGGTTAAGAAACTGAGCTGGTCAGAGACGGGCACTGGGTGCCAGGTGGGGGTGGGTACCAGCTGGATTAGGTGCCAGGTGCAGATGGATGCTGGGGGGCGGGCACTGGGAGATTGCGTTGGTGGTCGCCAAGATCACCCCAGGTTCTGTGACTCCTTAGGACTCGTGGCCGTGTCTCACCACAGTGATCGGGTACAGGGCAGAATCAGTGAACGGGAGAGGCTCACCGGGCCGTCTGGGGGAGCCCAGGTGCAGGCTTCCAGGGGTCCCTTCCCAGGGGAACCAACCTCACAGGACACACTCAGTTCCTTCAGCAACATGTCGTGACAACCCGTGGGATGCAGCCGACCAGGGAAGCCCGTTAGCGTCTCGGTCCCCGGGGTTTGTGGGGGCTTGTCCTGTCGTTGCCTGCCCAGTTACCTGCCCGGCGTGTGCAAAAGCCGCGGGCTCCCAGCAGGGACGCAGGTGCCCGGCAGCCCTCCCCCCACTGGCTCCAGGAGAGTGACATAGTATTTTGCAGGAAGGGGCTCCAAGGGTCACAAGGACAAGTAGATCTGGGTTAAAATGAAGTCTCTCCACTGTAGTTTTTCCCAAAGCCTTTAAATACGCTAACGCATATTGCAGTTATTCAAGAAATGAACAGCTACACAGATAGCATTTTCCAGACTTCTTTGCCATAGAGCACCAGTGCGTTTTATGACTGGTGTTCACCAAACTCATTTTGGGAAGTGCTGCTCTAGCACTCTGCTTCCCAAACACAGCAGAGGAGCCCCGGGAACACCCCCCCACACACACACACACACACAGGCAAAGGAGGCGGCGCAGCAGCGAGCGTGCCTTCGTGTTCGCCTCTGCACACCCTGGGCAAATGGGAGCACAGCTCACATTTGTTGGATGACTGGATTAAGGAGTGCGTTAGCATCTGGGAAAAAGGTAAACTTGGAAACTAAGAGGAGGTGGAACTCAAGGAGTCTGTGTCATCTCTTGACTGTTCTGTAAGCCCCACCGGGTTAAGGGCTGGGACGGTCTCGATGGCATCTTGTCACAGGGCCTGCACGGGGTGCGCAGTGCCTGCCGAAGGAGTGGGCGCCGCTCAGCTGTCGCTGCTGCTGCTTTAGAGACTGTGGTTGTAGGAAAGGTGAAAATTATTAGCGAAAATGAAGCATCACCTGGAGATTTTTTACTTACGCTACCTCTACTGAATATTGAGAGTTGCATTTACGTGAACATCTTTTAGGTCTCAAGAGATTAGTTTTTTGATTATGTCCAAGACATAAATGAATATAACACACGATATAAAAACAAAAATTCTCGTGTGTCCGTTTTCCACATTAGAAATAGATCATCACCAGTCTCTTTGCTCTGCCCGTCTCGGCCCTTCGCCGCCTCCCTGAGAGCAAACACCTATCGTTCTCTTGCCTTTTTTCAATTTTCTTAAATATATTCTCCAAATAATGAATTAGGTTTTATAATGTTTTTGAATTTCATAAGTTATGTCATGCTGTATAGAATAGTTTTCACCCAGTATGAGTTTTGAGGCTCACGCAGGTCATGCACGTAGCTGCAGCTTATTCTTCCGGGTGGCATTCCACTGTGTGATCTCTGTTTCTCCACGCCTCTACCGAGGGGCGTTTGGGCTTTTTACAGGTTTTGATAATTCTTCATACTCTACGACGATGAACATTAACACGTATTTCCCAGCGTGCGTGTCTAAGTGTTTTTCTAGAATAAATGCCAGAGCAACTGGGTCTTAGACCGGTACGTTTGCAGCTTTACAAGGTGACACCAAACTTGGTGTCTAAGACAGTGGCGTCTGCACGCTCCCTGCCCCGGCCTCTGTGACACTGGCTCTCGACGGCCTTTCCCTTTCTCCTGGCATGGTGTTGCGAACTGTCCCACTGGCGGATTTAATCTACATTTCCCTGATTTCTCAGGGGTTTACTAGCCATTCGTATTTGCTGTGAACTGTGCGCTCCCGTCTTGTAACGTTTTAAGTCAGGTCTAGGCATTCTTTGTATATTCTGGATGCTAATCCATCGTGCGGATACCTTTCCCCAGTTCTGCCTGATCTTTTCCCTTTTTTTTTAAGGTGCAGAGACAATGCTGAAGGGAATGGCAAGGCTAACCTCCAGGGTCCGTAAGGTGAGTCCTCAGTGACCTAAATGCTCTGTCTCTGGGTGGATTTCTTGTTTTTCGATGGATTTATTATACCCAGAATGAAATGTTCTGGAGAACTGCAGCTGGCTAGTGCTGTAATTTCTAAGTTTGCCCTCAAAGGAACAATCACAATTCCATGTCTCTGCCCATACACTTCACTCCCAGCCACCCCGAAAATCTTCAAATAACAGGTCTCAGTACACATAGAATTAACGTTTTTTTAAGGAAAAAAAAAAACATAAAAGGCTTGACTGCAGTTATCTTCATTAGCTTTTATACAATTTCCTAGTTGGATGAATAATTATCATCCCTTAATGAAGTATTTAAAAGAAAAATGTTGCCAATGTAGACCTTAAGCATCTGACAGTTGAATAAGATAAAATCACATATGAAACAACCATTCTGTCGCTTTATTTATTTAGCAAATAGTTTCAGTCACTTCCACGCAGCAGGAACTCGGGGTTTGAAGGTGACGCGTCTTACTAACAGCTACTGCTTGTTGGGCATTCATCACGTGACAGGTGCTGGGCCACGCGCTTGCTTTAACGCTCACGACCAGCCCGTGAGGTGGATGGTGTGTGTCCCACAGATGCACAGATGGAGGATTAGAAAGGCTAAGCTCCTTGCCTAGGGTGACAGGCTGTGAAGCTGCTGAGCCCAGACTGGGGACCGGGTCCGTCTGACGTCAAAGCCTGAGCCATAACCACTGCAGCACCTCACAGCCCCGCGGCAGAATCCCGAATGAGTGATGGTTACAGTGGGCGCTGTCACTGCGCCCAGCAGGAGCACCTGCCCTGGGTGAGGAAGGTCCAAGGGCCGCCCCCAGCCGAGTCCAGAAAGAGGAAAACGAGGCCGGGAGGGCCCGGTCACGTCCATCTGACCGCTCAGTGACTAGATTTCCTAGAAGGGCAGCCCTCCTCCTGCTGTGGAAGTCACCTTGCCAGGGGTGCGTCATAAACCTATGAACGTAAAAACCCAGTCGTAAAGCGAAAGCAGAAGCGAGGCCCGACAGAGGGGTGGGTTCTGGCTTCAGCTGATGACACAAAGAGGCTGACCAGGAAGACGAGTCCACACCAGCCATGTCGGTGAGAGAGAGTTTTGAGCGTCGGGTAGGTTGGTCAGAGAAACTGTCAGGCACGGCGCGATGCTCAGGCTGGAGCTGTGCAGACGCAGTTGACACATGGTGGTTTTCCCTGGACATGAGGCTCACTGGGCGGTGCCAGACACAATGCTGTAAGAAGTACAGGATCCATTTTGCTAGCTCTTAATTTGCTGCAAAAAGCAGTTAACAAAAAAGTCTTAGGATTCTTGCAGAAATAGCGCCACCTTGTGGCCCCTGAATGCCTTGAATTTTCCACTTGACTTATTTTTTCCAATAGAATTGAGAAACTCGAGTTGTGTCAGTGCTAGGGTGTACCCCGATCGCCATGCTGAGGTAACAGGCGCTCGGTTCTCACTGGCTTAACACAACAAACGATGCTGTGTACGACGTGTGCGTGTGGTTGGTTCTGTTCTGGCTGCTGCTGCATTTCCAAAGTGGTTTGCAGGCAAACGTGGGAGGGATCGTCTCAGCATGTAATTTTAAGGCTGCCACAGAGGGGAAGAAAAGAGAATTGGGATCCGCTCTTAGCTGGCTCTGACTAGAAAAAGACACACGTCACTTCCACTTAACAGCTCATTATCCAGAAATAATCAAATAAGCCGGCCTGTCTTCAGGGGTGGCTGGGAAATGTAGAGGATTTGGGTGTCTGATGGACATTGGTGTCCGCCGTTCTCAGACACAGCTGGAGCAGCCCTGTCACTTTGGGGTAAATCTGCGGTGGTGGCCTGGAAGCTATGTGTGCAGTGCGCTGGCTCGTGTGCGGAGCTGTGCACGCGCATGTAACTGGGTACTGGATGCGCTCCCTAGCACGCGTCCCTGGTGAAGGGCTGTCCGTGCCAGGGCACGAGCCTGGACTATGTGTGGTGTGTTCAGTGCTTAGAGAAGGAAATGCAAAGGTGAAGAAAAGCTGATCTCTTCCCGGTGCGTGTGGCCTGGAATGGGGGACAGGCCTGGGCCTGAGATTTCATGACGTGATACAAAGAGCAGAGATTCTGGAGTCAGACAAGCTTGGATTTGAATTCCGGCTTCACTACCTACCAACTCTGTGACCTTAGGCAAAATGACTTAATTTCCCTGGTCCGTGGTTTCCCCGTCATTAAACAGACACAATGATGTTCTACCTGTCTCCAAGAGTCTCGGTTCAAAAGTAATGTGCAGAAGACACTGTACTGCCGAGCACCTCATAGGTACCCAGTCAGCAAAAGCCACGAGAGCAGTTCAAGGCCGAGTCAGAGTGCCACGCGAGGCAACGTGCCATCAGCAGAGAGGGGCTAGAGGGGTCTGGCAAGTCTGCAACAAGGACGTGACATTTGAGATGAGCCTTAGAGGAGGAGTCAGATTCACATAGGGAGAGAGGGAAGCTGAGGTAGAAGGACAGAGGCAGGAAAGAGCGACGGGAGCACAGGCTCGGGACGAGGCAGGCAGGCGGCAGCCGGGCCTCGGTCTCCGCGCTAAGGGCTGGGGGGCTGGTTCTGACATAGTAGGAAACCACGTTTTTTGATTGAATGACGGTTAAACCTATTATCTGGGAGGACAAATCTTTGGGACTAGGGAAGATGTAGAGGTAAAGAGACCCATTAGAAAGTTGTTATGGAGTTTAAGGTCTTAGTAAATGGTCGTCAGCGTTCGGAGGGGTAGTACCAAAATAATACACGTTTTTGTGCACTCGCGAGGCTGCTCGGTGACACTGCACATCACTGCAGGCGGCTTCCCGCTACCTGCTGACGCCTGGGGCACCCCTCATTGCGGCAGCTCCCACGTGCCTGTCCTGCTTCTGCTGACTTCTGTCCTGGTCTTTCCCTGGGGCTTCTCCAGTTCGCATTTTGTCAGAGTTGCCTCCTGAATCATCCGCCCCGCCCCCGGGTCCAGAGCTTTCCACGTGCAGCTGACCGAGTTGCCCGCAGCGCGGTTCATTGACGCTTCACACACTCCCTCGCTCAAAGGCTCTTCACGTGCGGGCCCAGCTAGCAGGGAGATTGTGGCGGGGGTGGGACTGTACCTGTGGAGGGGGAACACGGCACTAACCCCCAACCGAAGCGACCACGATCACCGGGCAGCGGAGCAGTGCATGTTAGTGACATTCTCCCTGCTGCAGACACGGCTCAAAACCTCAGTGCTGCATGGGGCGTAAAAGGCCCACAACGCTGCAGCACGGAAACCGTTTCTTTTGTAGGTGGACCCTGGACACTTCTTGTGCACGGAGACCAAGGTGGCCCAAAGCCTCGCCACCCACCAGGGTGGCCAGGTCCCAGCGGAGCGGCCCCGAGCGCTGTCCCGCACCAGCGAGAATGACCCAGTGAGTCCCCGACGCGTGCGTGTGGATTCTTCCTCGGGGCTTAGAGTTTGCATTGCTGTCATTTTAGTATCGGGAACCCTAAAACCCAGAGAGCTAAGAAACGTCCGTGCGGTCAGGCAGCGCACCTGACAGCGTTCTGAACCCGACTTCCCCGCCTGCCGGGGACCGCGGCGACGTCGGGCACTCGGGCAGGCCGGTCCTCCCGCGCTCGGATTTCATCCCTGCCCCTGAGCTCACCTTGCGCCCAGTTCGCCAGGCACACAGTAAGCGCACAGTAAACACGAAGTCAGTTCTTTAGAAGTTACATTGAATAGTTATGACCGATCTTACTGTGTCACGGTCGGGAAACCTCCCCCTAAAGGGCCAGAGAGTAAAAGTGGAAGCTTACGAGCCAAAGTGGTCTCTGTCACCGCTGCTGAGCTCTGTCGTAAACAAGTGGGTGTGGCCGTGTGCCAATAAAACTTTATTTACCAGAACGGTAGTCAGCCATAGTTAACAAACCCCCGTGTGGAGCACCCTAAAGAAATCACCCTGCCCGCGGTCACGGTGGGGCGGAAACCAGTCTTCCTCATGACCGACCCGGAGCTGTGGCCGCCCTCCCCGAGGGCTTCCTGGCCTGGCCGGCGGGAATAGCGGCAGCGTCCGGGCTCCCGGCCTCCCCTTCGCTCCCACCAGGCCGGACGGCGATTTCTGCCCCGGCATCACCACAGCCTCAGCGGGGACGTGCGCTGCAAGGCCTGTGCTTCAGTGTGAAGGAAACCGGTAGCTTTTTCCTCGCTGTCTGTCACTGTTCCCACCCTCCGAGTCTCCCCATCTGGACATTCGCTACTGTGCGTGGCGAGGGAGGGGATGACGTCACCGAGCACCATCTTGGCGCGGTGCGTTATGTGCGTCCCGCTGGTCACCTACTTTCACGAGCACAAGATGGAACAATAAGTGAATTAAGCCCTCGACGTGTCTTTCATGTCCCTGTAATTGTAGTCCCTTTATCTGCCAATTCCTCTGGAGTTTCTATGGAAACAGCAGTGTGCAGATGATCTTGTCACGTGACTGGAGCATCTCTGTACACAGCACAGAAGAATCCAGATGGCAAGACTCATCCCTGCTACCTCCACATCTCGAGTTTACGTTGCTGAGCAACTGGCTTTGTCATTAGGGCCAACGCCAGCTTTATATAAACACCGTGGGCCGGGGCACAAGCACCAGGCTTTTTTGGTCTAAGAAAGGAACGCGTGCTCCCAGCTCTACGAGGTGACTTCCGTCCGTGTGGCCCATGAGCCCTTTCCTTCTCAGCGCCCCTGTGCCTTGGTCTCCGGCCCTGCCACACCTATGTGCACCTTTCTCCCCCAGGCCAGGCACGAGGAGCAGCACGAGGGCCAGCACTACCGCGTCCCCCTCCAGGACCTGGAGACGGTGTTCTCCCACGGCCTGCCGCCCCGGTTTCGGATGCAGGTGCTCGGAGCGGGCGGGGGCCGGCAGGGGCGGGGGCTGAATGAACAGAAAACTATAAACGATGAAATTCGAATCTGAAAACATGAGTCCAGCTCCGGATTATCTTGGGACTGGCGCAGGTACCAGTTTCTTCGAGGCAGTGCTCATCTGCGTTGGACCCCTGGTGGCCCTCGAGCCAGGCAAAAGTCCTAAATAATAAACACACCCTGCCGCTTTTGTTACCCAACAGGTTTCCAGAAACTCTGCTGTTCAAATAGTTGTTAAAAATGAGTTTAATATTTTCCTTAGAAAAGTATCGTGAAAGTAGTGAATATGCTCTAGGAAAAAATTGTTTAAAAAAAAAACCGTGACACACTCCTGAGCCAGAGAGAAATGATGTTTGGATTAGATGCATCACTGTTCTTCAGTCGCATAGACTTTCAGAAAATGTAGTTTCGTGGTCGTCAGGGCTCCACAGCCGTTAAAAGGACTCAGTTAACTGCCAGCATGGTTTAGTGGCACGATTGGCCCTTTTGACTAACCCCCGCTGAATTATTCTCAGCCCGAGCAATGATTCCTTCCTAATGAAATATCGAACTTGACTGGAAGTAATGCTTAGCGTAGGAGCCAGAGTCTTCTTCGGTGTGCTTTATTTCAAGAAATGAGACGCGGCATCAGTAAGGGGGCTGATGCTAGACCGCAGCCAGCCTGTCATCTCAAATTTTGTTCCGCTGGAGATAGGACATAACCAGAGGGATCACCTCCAATGTCACTTTAAACAGTCCGAGGACGTTCACGGCAGTTTCCAGCAGCAGGGTTGGGAGGTCCTGGCCTCAGTGAAGCGTTTCGAGTTGCTGGCAGGGTGGCTTAACCACCGGCGCTGTGGAGGGACCCGCTCCTGCGTTCCAAACGTGGCGTGCACCTCGTGAAGGCCAGCACCCTCACCGTGTGTGTGCGTGTGGTGCTGTCACGTTGCCTAATGGGGCCTTTTTGTTTTAATACCTGTATCATGTTTTCGAAGGTTTCGCTTTTCATTAGTTTATACTTTCCTGTCAAGTTCTTCTCTAATCTGTAGTTTGCTTAGCATTTCTTTAAAAAAATAACCACAGCGTTTTAATCTTTATCTCGTCTAACTGTGAATAGCATCTGTGAGGTATTTTTCTTATCACTAGACATTATTAAATGCTTTCCTCGCAAATCACTTTCACACCGAAGTATTCCTGGTGGCAAAAAGGGAACAGACTTCATGCATCAGTTCTCTGGTGGGTCGGTGTGCTGGTGGGGCCAGGTGTGGTCTCAGCTGTGGGACAGCTCATCACACCTGCTCCTCAGCTGCCATGAATAGAGTTCTAGAGAAGAGTCTACATGGTCACAGCAATAAGAATTAGCTAAAAATCAATGTAAAGGCATTAACGTGTACTCACTGCTTCCGAAACGTCAGGTACTTTGTCAGGCCTTTGGGGTGCTTTCACCGTCTACCTCAGCCCTGAGCGGCGTGCACAGTCTGCAACGTCAGGTACTTTGTCAGGCCTTTGGGGTGCTTTCTTTCACCGTCTACACCAGCCTTGAGCGGCGTGCACAGTCTGCGTTACGGACGGATTTCCATCAACCGATGTGTCTGTGCTTCAATAACAGAAATAATCGAAAGCTGGCTTTTCTGTTACTTAGCGTGAGAGAATGTGTTTCAGTTTTTAGCTAAGTTCTATCGATACATTTCCAAATTACCGACCCAGCCTCTCCTAACCGCACATAGGAAGATTACGCAATTTGGCGCTCTGGCTGCTAAATTAGGCTCGTGCGGCGCGGGCACCAGGGGCAGGCTGAGTCCCGCAGCCACTCGATCCGCTCCTTCCCGCTCCGCCAGGTGAAGACGTTCAACGAAGCCTGCCTGATGGTGCGGAAGCCGGGCCTGGAGCTTCTGCGGCACCTCAGAAACTCCGACTTCAGCCGGCCCGCTGTGCGGTACCTCCTCTGTATCCTTCCTGCGAGCCAGGGCTCCCCCCTGCTCCCCGCAGCCTCGAGCCAGCGCTGCCCCCTGCTCCCCCTGGCCCCGAGCCAGGGCTCCCCACTGCTCCCCCCGGCCCCGAGCCAGCGCTCCCCTCCATGCGGGACAAGAGGGAGTGCAGGAGACGCCCTCCTGGGACCGTTTTCTTTAACAAGCACCTTAGATGGGGAGAAGGGGACGGGGAAGACCCTCAGTCTCTGCCACAGCCTCCACTTCTGTGCGACACAGGGCTGGCTGACGCTGCACGTCCCGGATGGTGAGAACGGCCTCTCCTCACCCCGTGGCCACGGCAGCGTGCTGGCTGTCACTCTGACGGCTGAGGAGGCCGTTGCCCCAGAAGCAGGGCGGTCTGCGCCAGCGCGTCGCAGTCTCTGCGTGTCGCTCGCTGACAAGCAGGTTGCGAGGGGAAATAAACGCCGAAAGCTTCCTGGAGCCGTCTGCCAGTGGGGGTGCGGGGGCCGGGCCGGGCAGCGCCCCCGGAGCAAACTCCCGCCCTCGGCCAGCCATCCCGAGTGCCCGGAGCCTGTGGCACAGCGCTGGGTGTCGGGTTCTAGAGCTGTCGGCGTGGGTCCTGCACACGTAAACTCTCGTACTTGGCCTGTATCCCTCGTGTGCAGCCCGTTTCTGACCATCTCAGCCTCGGCCCGGAAGCCGAGGCGGCCCTCAGTACTCGGCACGGCGTGTGTGTGGCTCGCCATGATAGCATCGAGCGCGGGCCCGACGGACCGTGGCCCTCGGAAGCTGGGGGGACTCTAAGAGAGTGGGCGGGAGGCTTCCCCCGACTACGGGGGCCCAGCGTGTGTGGCGTTGAATACGGTTGGTTTTCTTGTGCCTGTTTTTAGCTCATCTTTGGGTGAAAAACTGCCGGGAGCTTCTGCAGTCCACCTACAACAAAGAGCGCTTCGATCAGCCGGTAGAGGCGTCCACCTGGCTGAAGAACTTCAAGACTGCAAACAAGCGTTTCCTGAGTCAGGTGACTGGACCGTCAGGCGTTTGCTGCTGGACAGTCTTTAAACGGGTTTTATCTTTTCTGTGCCCGAGTCTCGGAGACCCTGGAAGACTAATGTCGGAGCCGAGATAACTGTACCACTCTGTTTCCATACACTGTACTCACAGCGAGCTCGCAACCCGAAACTCATTTATCCGCGTGAAGCTGAGGCGGCAGGAAGCTGGGCCAGGAGTTCTCGCCTCTGTTTGGATATAAATCCAAATCACCTAGGCCTCATCCCGGACCTTTTTCATCAGAATCATATAGATATTTTAAGCCCCAGGCAGAAAGGGGCCCGAGAGCGTTCACTTCCATGCTGAGATCGCTTATAGTCTAGTAAACAGTCTAGGATTGATCCCTCGCAGCCTTGGCCGCCTCCCTTCTCGGCGAGGGTCGGGCTCATCCTTCGGCTGCGTAGCCATTCTTGGTTTTTATTTCGTTGCTTTTTAGATAAAAACCCAAGAGAAGTACGTCTGGAACAAGCGGGAAAGCACAGAGAAAGACAGTCCGCTGGGAGAGGTGGTCGAGCAGGTAGGAGAGACGCCGCTGCGGTGTCACAGCCACAGCCGGGGAGGCCTGTCCTGGGCTGCAGGCCGCTGCTGCCTCCCTGCAGGGCATAACGCGGGGCAGGAACGCCACGGACGCCGTGGGGGTCGTGCTGAAGGAGCTGAGGGGGCAGAGCGCGGCCGGGGCCTTCCGCCTCCTGGTGGCAGTGGACGGTGTCAACGCGCTCTGGGGCAGGACCACGCTGACGAGAGAGGACAGAAGCCCGGTAGGAGAACTGCGCCCCCCGCTCCGGGTCTGGGTCCGGAGCGGTCACAGCGGCTGGGCTGTGCTGGACACACGATTGGTTTCCTTGCCCAGGACTGTCTGCGTGCGGGTGGGCAGTGAACGTGGCCTCCGAGGGAGGTGGTGCCGGGTCCCACCACCCGCTGCAAACGGAGGGGGAGGGCAGGACAGCAGGGGCCGCTGCGTCAGCGTGGCCTGTCCGGTCTCTTCAGAATGAGGCTGGGCTCTAAGGGACAGTCAGCAGCTCGGAGGAGGGCGAGGCTGGGGACTGCTCGTGTCCGGAAGCATGCCGGCGTCTGGGCCAGCAGCCGCGAGCTCGTCCCAGGGGTCCCACTGTCGGGCAGGGGGCTTACGTCGCAGTCGAGGGTTTTCAGTTGCTGTCAGTCCGTTGTCCCGGAAGCAAAGCGAGTAACGGTTTCCTTCCGCCCCGGCCGTGCAGATTGCGCCGGGGGAGCTGGCACTGGTTTGCAGCCTGAGGAAGATGGTGCGGAATGACTGGGTGAGTACGGTGACAGTGCGGCGGCGCCTGCCGCGGCTCAGAAAGGGCCGTATGGTCATCGTACAGACCTGCGGCCTGTACGTCTCCGGACCGAGGGCTCCCGGGTCTAAGCCAAGTCCCGTCCTGAACCACGCTTACACCCGTGCGTTTGGTTTCTGACCGTCCCCCTGACCGCAGCGAGCTTGCTCAAGACCAGCTTGTTTCAAAGTCGCTGCGACTTTGCAGTTGTGCAGAGTGTGTTTGATCTTCTTATCTATTTGGGGCAAAGTCATGACAGATTAAGATCACGTAGCTCCTTGCCGTCAGAGCGAGTCCCAGGCTGGCCACCGGGGAGGGGCCCCAGGCAGTGTCCCCGGGCTGGGCGGGGCGCCATCTCCCAGCCTCTTCTGACCGGCTGCTTCTCCTTGCAGAGCGGAGGTGCCATCGTGCTGACTCTGAGCCAGACCGGGTCTGTCTTCAAGCCCCGGAAAGCCCATCTGCCCCAGGAGCTGCTGGGAGAGGTCAGGCCCCGGAGAGGCTCCCGAACGCGGCCCAAGACACGGCTTGTTGCTTTTGGGTTTTGGGGAGTTTTTTTGACATAATTTCAGACTTAGAGAAAAACCATATTCCTGTATGGTTTCACCCAGGTTCCTAAAATGTTAACACTTCGCCATATCTGCTTTATTCTTCCTCTCTCTCTCTCCATCTCTTTCTTCTGAATAACGTGACACTAACCGAGACATGCCTCTTCATCTCTAAATCTCGTGAACTTCCTAAAATCAAAGAGTCTAATACATAACCACAGTGGTTATCAAAACCAGGAAGTTAACATCGGTGTGATACTGTCACCCGGCCGATGGGACTCATTCTGATTTTGCCAGTTGTCCCAACATCCTTTATGGAAAAGAAAGTCCCGGATAACGTGCTGCATTCGACTGTCCCGTCTCCTTAGTCCCCTGTAACCTGAGACAGCCCCCCAGGCTTTGTCTCTTACCTCGTTAATATTTATGGTCCTGTTTCTGAAGAATATGTGCCAGTTGTGTTGGGGGTTTCACGGGCTGTGTGAGGCTGTCTCATCCCGTGTGACGTCAGATGGGGCGTGTGCCCCTAGTGCACAGTGCCGGGCCGCGTTAGCCGGGAGCACCTAGGTCCCCTCGCTGGACTTGCGCAGTCAGTTGGTGTCTTTGAGACTAGGTGACATCCTGTCACTCCTCACTGCCCCTTGCCGGCCTCCGATCCATTGGTGATTCTGCCCTAATTCAGCTACGATAGCTGGAAATTAGGTACTTCCTCGTCCCGCCGTTTCCCGTCTCAGCTGGCTTCCTGTCGCACGTAGGAAGCTCCCCCCTCCCTTACGTGCGTGTCTGTTTCGGCGCACGTGAACTCTTAGCCTCACGCGTGCGCTTTGGCGCTCACGCCGTATCTGCATCCCGTTAACACGCGCCCATCACCTTTTCCGTATCTTCTCCACGTTCTGGCGCAAGACCAGCCATTTCCCAAGGAGCCCTGCTTCGTTTCAGAGGGGCCAGCAGTGCCAGGCGTAGTCACTGCTACTGGGGTGTTGCTTGTAGGCCGCCGTCCTGCCGTCGGTACATAGACACCTGGATCACTCGCGTGTGTGTCCCACGTGCACGTATCTGGTTCTCCGTATTAAGAAATCATCGCGTTCATATGGACCCCCAACCCCAGGCTAGCACCCCTGTGTTCATTACACCCTTCCCCCTTTCCACGTGCCACCCGCCCCTCCAGCCATAAGTGCGCGCTCGTGATCCACTCACGTGCCAGCTGAGCCTTAGATCATAGGGACAGTGCGTCCCGAACGCCGCCCCAGGCTCTGGGAGAAAACGCCGTGAACTGGACGCGGCATTTGCTAGAGCAGCTTTTGTCTCTAGCCCACGGGTCTTCAGCCCGGATACTGTGCTCAGAGGTAGAACTGGGTGAGTCTCCCTTAGTGAGCCATGGTCAACTGTGGTCCGAAAATGCCAAATGAAAAAATGCAGAAGTAAGTAATTGCGAGGTTTTATACTGCACGGGTTCTGAGAAGCGTGACGACGTGCCGCTCTTCAGCTCTTCCCGCCCGGGGCAGGACTCATGCTGTCCAGTGTCCCCACGTGGTGTGCGCTCCCCGCCCGGCAGCCAGTGACGGCGCCCGGGTCAGATGGACGCGCGCAGCCCCGTGGTGCTTGTGCTCGGGGGGCCCTCGTTTGCCTTGCAGCTGACCCCAAAGCACAAGCGTAGTGACGCTGGCACTTCAGACCCGACGTGTGCTTTCTGCGCGTGTTTGGGAAAACAGTGTGCATGGGTTCGGTGCCGTCCGAGGTCTCAAGTGTCCCCGGGGACGGGGACTGCTGTACAGTTTGAGTCACTTGTTTCAATTTATGTTCCATTCAGGGTCTTTTCCACCCCCTGCTTTATTTATTTTGTTTTGAATATATGAACTGTCACAACTGTTGACTGAAGTCAGGACTGCGAGAATGAAAGTGGATCCTAGGTGCGCTCAGGTCCCCGTGCGAACAAGTGGCCCCCAGGCACCATCGGCTTCTCACAGCCCGGGCTGTGGCCGCGGCCCACGGGGAGCCCCGAGCAGGGCGGGACAGCCAGGCGAGGACAGGAGCAGAGGACGGGGAAGGGCACCTCACGGTGTTTCCACGAAGCCGACCTCCCTGCCCACCTGTCACGCAGCGACTACCATCTGCGTCCTTTTCTTCTCCAGGAAGGATTCGATGCCCTGGACCCCTTCGTTCCCATCCTGGTCCCCAGCTATAACCCGAAGGAGTTCGAGAGCTGCATCCAGTATTACCTGGAGAACGACTGGCTGCAGCACGAGAAAGGTCGGTGAGCAGCGGCCCCGCTGACCCCGAGTCGGTCTCTGCCTCCCGCGGCGGCGGCCTGTCGTCTGCTTCATTCTCCCCCTTTACCTGGCTGCTTTCTGCTGAGAGGGCACGGGCGGTGGGGGGAACGGGGGTGGTGGTCGCCACTCGCGCTGCATTTTTCTTTTCTTTCTGTTCCTCGTTGCGCTTACTCATCATTCAGCGAGTCCGAAGGGGACACACGCAGGGACAGCCCAGCACCCAAGCACTCCCTGGGGGAGGGGAGGCCGCGCCCTCACTAGATATGGAGGAGCAGCTGCAGTCGGATGGGGAAGGGCCATCCGGGACCAGAGGGCAGGGGGCTGGGAAGCCGATGGAGCAGTTTCTGCAGGGCTGGGAGGTCTGACCGAGTCCCCGAGGCAGAAGATGCTCCTGGGACAGAGGGAGAGACGGGTGCTCAAGGGGCGACGCGCAGGAAGCACAGTGGTTTATCAGGAGAGCGGGTCGGAGCCGAGGCCCCTGGCTGGCGTGCTGACCGCAGGGAACACGGTCCAGGTCGCGGAGCCTCCGCCCCGGGGCCTGCGGGGGGCGCAGGGTGCGGAGCGAAGCGGCAGCCGTCAGCTTTGGACTCCCTGCAGCGCGCACGGAGGAGGGCAAGCGGGAGCTGCTGTTCCTCAGTCACTCGAACCCGGGGCAGCTGGAGCGGCTCTGTGCCCACCTCTGAGCCCGGCCACACACGAGGACGGTGAGCGCGTCGAGGGACCGGCCGGCCCGGGCGGCCCCACAGGACGCGCGGTAGGCGGCTCCCGCCGTCGCTGGAGTGGGTTCCTGGCGAAGTGACCGTAAAGGCCGTGAGACGGGCCCTCGGGCCCACAGCCGGCGCCGGTTCATTAAACGTGGTCCTCGCACCCTGACCAGTCGCCTTCTTTTCTTTAAAACCTGCGCGTCCGTCAGGCTCCCGATTCCTCCGGCGCCCAGAGACCCGAGGACGCCCACGGGAATTCCCAGCCTGGGCCAGGGGCCCGCTCGAGCCCGGCGGCCCCCGCCAGCACACACTGGCACCGCCCAGCCCGTCCTCGTCCCCATGGGGAGCACTGGCCACCCCGACTCCAGGAGGCGTGAGAAAACCGGCTCCGCCTGGCTGCGGTCAGGTGCACTTCCCGGCAGACCCAGGCTGGCGAGACAGACGTGTCCCCGTCCCCGTCCCCATGGGGAGCACTGGCCACCCCGACTCCGGGAGGCGTGAGAAAACCGGCTCCGCCCGGCTGCGGTCAGGTGCGCCTCCCGGCAGACCCAGGCTGGCGAGACAGACGGTGAGCTCCGGACCGGCCACTGCGGCGCTGTCCCGGCCCCTCAGCCTGTTCCCTTCTCCAGGGTCACCTTAGCTAATAGTGACCGTAATGCCACACTGTCAGGGGCTTTGTGAGGGTTAAGTCAACACGTGGACGGTGCCCACTGAGCGGCAGGAAGCTCCCATTTAAACGTGGATTTTATGACGCCGAGTTTGCAGTTACCGTGAGGGAGACAGTCTGAACACGTAGCCGCTTCCTCTGAGGACTGGCTAGTTCCCTCCTCGCCCCCGCCCCCGCCCCCAGCCCACCTCTCGCAGGGCTGCCGAGGCAGCTTGCTAAGCACAGCCCATCCCTCGGCTGATGTCATTCAGTGGCTTCACTGTGCCTTCGTTCTGATTGTTTGTGCCATGTATGTGTCACAAAGTTCATACAAAAACATCATGGAAAATCAGATTTCCTCTCTTCTCTAGAGAAAATTTCTGTTAACCACATTGTAGAGACGCGATTCTAAACACAAAAGAGCATTGTTCTGTACTTTGCTGTTGCCACCTGCAGGTGTCCCTCGGTCCCTGCGGGACAAACTCCGCAGATGCTCGAGCCCTCACGTAGTGGCTTCGATCTGCACATGGCCCCCGCACACCCTCCCGTGTGCCTGAGACCATCTCTAGGTCATGATGCCTGGTAGGGTGTAAATGCTGAGTGAATGGCTGTCACAGGAGGGCTCCGGGAACGATAGGACCGGCAGCACGTGTCAGCACAGACACAGCCACCGCAGGCCTAACTCCACTGCCTCCTTCCCCAAAGGTCCCTACCCGAGGTGGGCTGAGTCCACAGGTGCAGAAGCCATGCACCCAGGGCCAGCCGTGTCTTGGAAATCGCATCAGGATTCTTTGCCCACTCGAAAGAGTGATGTAAAAAAAGGAGCTGAGTAGCACACGGGCCCACCCGGTGTCGCAAGCTCAGGAGCCACAGACGCACCCTGACCACCGCAGGCAGGGGGATAAAGTCACCAGTGCTACCTGTAGACGACACCGCAGTCGGTGCTAATGACGATGACACCCAGACCCCAGACGCTGCGGTGCTGCTGCCCCTGCCCCTGCCCCCCGGGGTCGCCCACCGGGACCTGCCCAATGGGCCGGCCTGGTCTGCGCTGCAGACGCAGGGGACCGGCTTCCACCTTCAAGAGGCTGAGCTCGTAACCACGACGCCTCATTCTGACGCACGTGGAACAGTCAGCCGTGTGGCTACTGTACCCACCGTCCTTCCTGGAGAGTAACCACATCGCCTCTGTGGCTTGCTGCATACGGTCCTTACTTTCTCCCCAAACACTCGCTCGTAACCCGCCCCACCGAGCCCTCTTTCTTCGCCAGCTCCTCCTGCAGACCGGACCCTCGTGCCCCAATTCTCGGCCCTGTGATGTGGCTGGGGTCCTGCCTCCTCAACACCACTCCACTGGATTCAATCTAGGGTGGAAAGTAAGGAGTAAAAGCTGCCTTTTTTTGCAGATAACAAGCCTGTAGGTAAAAAACCTTAAGAACTCTTAAACTATCTACCAGAACTAAAAACAAGTCCCGCGAAGTCACAACGATGGGAGATTAATGTACGAAACGACTGTGTTTCCCTGGACTAGAGACGAGGCATCCGAACGTGAACCCGATAAAGTGACTCTTCAGAACAGCAGGGAACAGCCCTGAGCAACCTGAACAAAAGCAGCACGAGATGCACACAAAGCTGTCACGTACCACTGAGGGGAATGAAGACAGACCACGCTCGTGCACGGGAGACCTAAGGGTGTTCAGACGTCAGTCCTCCCCAAGCTGATCCATAAACTCAATCAATACCAAACTCGCAGCAGGCGTTTTTATAGATGTTGATAACCGACCTTGCAGATTGTATGGAAATAAAACCTAGAATAGCCAAAATGATTTTTTAAATAAGTAAATTGGGAGGAGTTATCTTCCATTTTTCAAAACACAGTATAAAACCACAGTAATTAAGACAGTGTAGTGCCAGCACGGGATTGACGTGAAGTCCATGGAACGGAAGCGAGTCCAGAAATAAATCCTTAGACTTATGGTCAGTTGACTTTCTACAAAAATTCTTAATGGAGAAAAAATAATCTTCAACAAACGATACTGGGAAAATCGGATATGTACCTGCAAAAAGATGAATTTTGACCCTTACCTACTATCACTCAAAATGGATCATAAGACCTAAATGTAAGATGTAAACTACAAAATATTTAAAAGCAAACGTGAGAACATAATGCAATATATGTATGCCTTACTGTTAAATTGTACACCTGAAACTTACTGGATTTCATTAACTGATGTCACAAAAAATAAAATAAAAAATTATTGATTAAAAAATAAAAATAAAAAAATAAAAGTAAATGTAAGAGAAAATCTTCATAACCTTGAATTAGGCAAAGATGTCTTATTCTGACACCAAAGATAGGATCCCTACAAGAAAAATCTGATGGGCTGGACTTTTACTCTTCAAAAGATACCATTAAGAAAATGCAAATGAAAAGCCAGAGACTGGGAGAAAACTGTAAATCGTATGTCTGATAAAGGACTTGTATCCAGACATATAAAGAACTTACCACTCATCATTACATAAACAATTTAAATAGACATTTCTCTGAAGAAGACATAAATGGCCGACGAGATGATGAAAAGCTGCTCAGCATCACTAGTGACCGGGAAAATGCAAATCAAAACCACAGGAAGACGCCCACTAGAACGGGCTATAAGTCAAAAAAGTCGGTAACAACTGTGGGGGAGGATGTGAAGTAGGAACCTCCAGAAATTGCTAGTGCACAGAAAAATGGAGAGATGAAAGTTCCAAAATGTTTCCACACTGGAAAACAGTCTGGCAGTTCTCAACGTGAAACACAGTTTTCACAGGACCCAGCGAGGCCACCCAGAGGTATCCACCCTAGCTAGAGATGAACACGTGGCCACGCAAAGGCCCGTGCTTCTCACCATGAGACTGTTCAGAGCAGCATGATTCCTAACAGCTGAAAAGTGGGAAATATTCCAAACACCCATCAACTCATTAATGGAGAACCAAAGAGGAAGCAGATACTAGCACGTGCTGCCGCGAGGGGAACCTCGAAACCCCAAGCCGAGACTCTGGACACGAAGGGCCACACGTATGATTACGGGGACCGTCCAGAAATGGCCAGTCTACACAGGCGAAAGGCGTCAGGGGGCAGTCACGGGGCTTCACTGTAATCACGAGCAATCTCTGGAGGGTGACGCAGACGTTTTAAAACTGAATTGTAGAGACTGCACAACTCCAGATTTACACTTAAAGTGGATGCAGATGATACCTCGGTAAAGATGTGAGGGACACTGCAGTCAGATTCCTCCCCTGTTCTCCACGGGGTTCACACCTCATCACGCTCGGGGCTCTCGCTGCAGGTCTGTTGCTCCCCAGGCTCCCCCGAGAGCACTTGCACGCGCGCGTCACTCTGTCCTGGTGTTTGCTCCTGGCATGCGCTGTCTCCACGAGACGAACCTACAAGGGAAGTAAAAAGTGAAAAGATGCCTACGCAAACGCCAGAAGCAAGCTTCCGTCTGTCCCACTGTCCCGCAAAGCAGACGTTAAGGTGAACGCCATCATGAGCGAAAAGCGGGTATTTCAGAATGGTAGAAGGTTCCGTTCATGAGGACGATGACACAAGCGTAAGCAGCATGCCCATCCGATAAGAAAACAAAAACCGACAAACTTACAGGACATACAAACAACCGGGGGGACCGTTAACACTTCAGTAACCAACGGAGACAAAAGAATCAGAATACTTGAGGAACATGATCAACACACTTGTCCTAATGAACGTATATTTTTAAACCCCAAAACTTCTGAATATACATTCTTTTTAAGCACGCATACAACCTATTCAAAAATTTACGATTGCTAAACCATAAGTCAACAAATTTCAAGGAGTTTAATTCATATAAACCATCCTCTCGGATCCCAATGCAGTTTAAGCTAGAAATCAATAACAAAAGGAGCCATAGGGAATCCCCAGGTGTTTGGAAATTAAATACATTTTTAATGTGCCCATGAGTCAGGGGGAAAAAATCAGAGTAGAAATGAGAATGTGATTTAAACTAACTGAATTTTTTACCTTTAAAAGAAGCAATATCAGACCTTATACAAGATGTCACTACAGATCTTGCAGACATGAAAAAGATTAAATGGGTATATTATGAACAATTTGATGGCAATAACAAAATTCGAGGATGAAAAGGACAAATTCCTAGAAAATTTATAACATCAAAATTGACACAAGACTAATTTAAAGTTCTGTAAACTATGATAGAATTCATAATTGAAAACTTTCTACAAAGAATAACAGGCCCATATGACTTTACCAGTAAACCCTATGAAACATTTGAAGAGGAAATAATGCCAATCTCATACAAACTCCCGTGGAAAAGAGAAAAAAGGAGAGAGAGTTACCAACTTGTTTTTTGAGGCCAATCATACTGATATTAAAAACTAACAAGGACATTAAAGGAAATTACAGTCCAATCTCATTAATAAACATGGGTACAAAAAATCCCAAACAAAATGCGTGAATCAGACCCAACAATTTTTTTAATTAAGTCTATTGGGGTAACGTTGGTTAATACACTTACATAATTTTCAGGTGTACATTGTAATTTGACATCTGTATATTCTATTGTGTGTTTACCACCCAAAGTCCATTTTCCTTCAGTTACCATATATTTGATCCCCTTTACCCACTTCACCCTCCTTCAGTCTCCCTATATTTGACCCCCTTTAACCGTCTACCTACCTCCTCCTCCCCGACCCCCTACCCTCTGGTAACCAGTAGTCTTGTGTCCATGTCCATGTCTCTGTTTGACCCTATATTTGACCCCCTTTACCCTGTCTACCTCCCCCCACCTCTCCCACCCCCTACCCTCTGGTAACCAGTAGTCTATTGTCCATGTCCATGAGTCTCTGTTTGTCCTGTTCATTTGTTGCTTTTAGGTTTATATCCTGCATATAAGTGATATCATGTGATTTTCAACTTTTTCTGTCTGGCTTATTTCACTTAGCATGATTAATACAACATAAATGAGTCAAGATTTACTCCAGGAACGCAAGATAGCCATTTCAGGTTTCAAGGATCGCACATTTAAACTGAAATCCCTCTTTAGAGTCCTTTTATCTTCAATAGACTCTCTGAAGTTTTTTTGTTTAGTCATTTGACATTTTTGAAAATGCCAAGCCAGTTATTTTATACTGTCCCACATTCTGGATTTGTCTTTCCTCCAGATCAAACAGAGGTTAAAGGCTTTGGACAAGCATAATACATGAGTGATATTTTGTATCTGCCATACTATCTACATCATTTCAGTTTGTTCCATTTTTGGTGATACTAAGTTTACTCACTCGTGTATTTCAGCATCCATCATTGTCAAACTACATTTTCTCCAGTGTAAGTTCCTTGTAGAGGGTTACTCTGAAATCCTAAAACCATCCCGTTTTCCAACAAATTATCACCCAATGGTTTTTAACATCCACTATTGAGCTTCATCAGAATAAACTGATAGTTGCAATCTACATTTAAATTCTATCACTCCGTCTACACTTATCAGTTGTCATTCTTCTGTCACCCCTAATACCTGCCCTCCCCTCCCCCTTTCTTAGTCTCCTTGTGGACTCAGGGATCTGAGACATTTTAAAAACGTGGTGTTAAAGACGGAAATTGGAACAGACCAGGACAGGATCAAGAGCCCAGAACAGGAAGGACTGGACTCCGTGGCGCAAAGGGCGGGCCGGAAGTGGGGGCCATCAAATTGTTCATAATGTATTAGTAATATTTGAAAAGATCAATAAATGTGACTATATATATTTTAAAACTCTGTTCTTCAAAAGACCCCATTTAAGAAAATGAAAAGGCAACCATTTTCAGTGGGAGAAGGTATTTTCAACACATAACTTGACAAGGGGCTTGTATCCTGAATAAAGTACTCACCCCTACAAATCAGTAAGAGACGACCCACGAGAAACAGAGACTTGAACATGCACTTCACAAAAATGGACATCTAAATGGCTGATACGCACATGAGAAAGTGCTGTCAATCTCTTTACTAATCAGGAAAATGAAAACCAGTGATAAGGACTTAAATTTTTAAGTGTCGACAAGATTATGGAACATCGACTGAAAACTCCCCCACGCTGGTGCTGTGGAACCATAAATTGGAAAAGAAATTCAGGCAACGGCTTGGTGTTATTCACCAGGTCCGAGCACACCCATCCTTGACCCAACAATTACACTCCTGGGTGCGCGCCCAACAGAAATGTGTGCACGGGCACACGCACGAGAACGTTAATCGTAGCACCTGGCAGCCCAAAACGGGAAACGACGCCCGAGTCCGTCATCGGCAGGTCGTCCGGGGCATAGTCACGCAACCGACTATTCTGAAACAATGAAAATGAACTGCAAAGACAGGAAGAACAGGGAGGAACCTCGCAGACGACCGCGAGCAAAAGACGACACGCTCCGACTTATTTACGTGATAGCCACTTAAGCCAGTCCACAGGGCTGGAAACCAGGACAGCTGTGACCTTCGGGGCGAGAGGAGGGGACGCTAGGGGAGCGTGGGCTTTTCTGGCAAGGCTTGACTTTTCCCCGAAGCGCGGTCGCTAGGCGGAAGCATCTGGTGGGAGAAGAACCGGCAGCTGCAAGAGCAGCAAGGAACAGGGCGCACCTCGCCGGGCACCCGGGGCAGACGCAGACGGCGACTTCCGGCGGCGGCCCCGCCCC